GTCCTGTACTTGACTAGACTGCCAAAAAGTCTCTTACATGTGGTACCCCCATACTCAAAAGAAGTAGCAGAATGTATTTTGGGGAGTAATTCCACATATACTCATGGCATGTGTGAGTGATAAATAATTTAAGTGACAATTTTGTGTAAAAAAAAAAAAGATTTTTTCATTTTCCAAAAACTTGTGGTAAAAAATAAATTCTTCTATTGATTCAATTTTAGATTTACAGAGGAGGTCTAGTGCTAGAATTACTGCCCTAGATCTGACATTAATGGCAATATCTCACATGCATGCTGCAGCCTCTGTTTACATACCGGCACAGGGTCAACGCTCCCGCAAGCAAGTGTGCATGCGTGGGGGGGGGGGGGGGGGTGATGGTGCTTTTTTTTTTTTTAAAAGTTATTTAGAATTTTTAATTATTTTTACACTGTACCTTTCATTTTTTTTTTTTGATCACTTTTACTGCTATCACAGGGAATTCAAATATCCCTTATAACTTCAATGGGCATTGTCAGATTCTTTTTTGAGAAATCTGGGGTCTATCAGACTCTAGATATCTCCTCTGCCCTTACATTGTCTAATCAAACCAAGATCGGTGTGATCAGATGCTTTCCCAATTTACAAATGGCGCTGTTTATATTCTGTGAAACTGAAGTGATGAAATGCTTGTAGCTTCCGATTTCTTAGACTATAGAGATGATTGGCATCAATCCGGGCTCCAATCAGCTCTATGATCTGCTAGCAGAAACACCGACTGCATTCTCAGGTTCCCCCGATGGCACGGGACTGCCCGAAAAAGCCGTGGAAGGCAGCGGGGGAGTGGGGGCATCAGCTTTTAAAAGAAATCCTGCAGCTACTTAGCCACTAGGATTGCGTTTATATGAAAGCCGATTGCCAGCTGAAAAAAATTATACCAGGATGATGCCTGCAGCTGTAGGCATCATCCTGGTATAACCAAAGTCCAGTGGTGTACCAGTACGTCGCTGGTCCTTGTTGGGTATATATGCTATGTTCTTTTTTTTTGTATGCAGTCTGTGGGCTGAATGAAAAAAAGAGAAGAAATCTCTGCCATAAAAGTTTGTGGTATGCCCACCATTAGAATATACTGCCCTGCATCCACCCACTTCTAATGGGGGGCACATATTAGGTCGCACGGTGCCACATGCACCAATTCCAAGATTGTACAAATGTCTAAATAGTGACACGCTTGAATAAAAATTGTCCACATGTAAGTGGTACCTCATATGGAAAAAGGATGACACCAAGTCCCAAACTATCTTGCCACTAATCCCCATGTAGTCTGGGCATCCTGGGGGCTCCAAGTGACTATCTTTTCCCTCCTAAATCCGAAACTTATATGTATAGCCTGTTGCCCTCTCACAGGTCTTATACATCTTGACCCTATATCTGACACGCTTGCTGGGGAGAAATTGTTTGAATGCAAGGCAGCCAGAAAAATTAATGAGGTGCTCATCAACGCAGATATTTTGGTGGGGAGTATAGACATCTGCAAATTTTTGGTTACGGTGATTTCCGAGGGGCCAAATTTTGTGGAGCTGGTCAAATTCAGGGTCTCCCTGAGGACGACAGAGTGAGTTGTTGTTGAAATGCATAAAGCAAATTATACTCTCATATCTATGCCTGGCCATGGCAGCAGAGAACACAGGCATATGATGAATTGGGTCTGTGGACCAATACAATCGCAATTCAATTTTTTTTGTAATGCCCATGTTGAGGGTTAGGCCCCCCAAAAATTTAAATTCGGAAACCGTATTGGGTTTCCATGCGAATGGTCTGGCAAGGTTTGAATTTGGGTTGGTGGAAATAAATTGTTGTGCATATAAATTGCTTTGATCCACAATCAATGCATACAGATATTCCATGAAAAACAGCTACAAAAAAAAATAAAAAAAGGGGAGTAGTTATATTTGCTGTTTCTATTTGAATTCCGGGTTGGGCAGTGAATGGGGGAAGTAAAGTTGCTGCAGAATTTGTGGGCTGCCAACTGGGATTTGCAAGCACATCTGGAAGGATACTATGGGCTCTACGGGCCTGTGTGCGAATTCTTGGTGGTTGCGGGACAATACTTGTGCTCGCCACCGCACCATCTTGTACTGCACTTATGGGACTCGCCACATCACCAAGTCATACTGCAGTGCTGGTATGTGAAAGATCAAGATGTACTAGGCTGCTGGTGCTCGACAGTTCACAAAAAGGTAGAGCGGCACTAGTACTGGCACTGCTGCATATGAGAGTCATCAAAATTTACCGGCAAATGCTAACAGAGATCAGGCCTGATTCTGTGAACACTGCGGTTTTGTGTGCAATGTATGCACTTGCTGGGGGAGAAGGCGGAAGGGTAAGCATAGGGGCTAAACGCAGGTGCTGGCATGTGCCGGGGCTGATCCCGCTAATGCTGCATTTTTGGGGACACTATACTAATGTGAACACTGGTATAGTGCTGGTCTGTTTAAAGATATTGATCCGTTCAGACACTATACCAACAATAGAGGTTTATTGTGTATGAGCGTGTTCCTGGCAATCAAGGGGTTTAATGTGATTACTGGTGTACTGACGGGCAATCTGACGCTATCTGGGAGGGGCGTGAAAACTGTAGGAGCATGAATCACGTATATATACGTGATTTTGCGCACCCGTACTTCCCTGTAGCAGTATTTCTGCTATAGGGCGGTCCGGAAGTAGTTACAGAAGCAGTTTGCGTTATGGCGCTTCGTTATTTTAACTGACAATTGCGCGGTCATGCAACGCTTCACTAAAATGACATTTAAGTCCTTTTTTTCCCACGAATTGAGCTTTCTTTTGGTGGTATTTGATCGCCTGTACGTTTGTTATTTTTACACTAATAATAGCGGCAAACAGCGACTTATGGCAGCAATCAGTGACTTATGGCAGCGATCAGCAACTTATAGCGGGACTAAGGTGGACATTCTGACACTGGAGGGGAACTGACTTGGGGTCACTGACACGCCCAGTGACACCAACACAGTGATCAGTGCAAAAAAAACGACACTGTACTAATGGCACTGGGGATGAAGGGGTTAACAATGAGAGGCAATCAAAGGGTTTACTGTGTGATGGGAGTGTTTTACTAGGGGGCGGGGGGGTGTGCTTCACTGTAAGCAAACTGATTTGGTCTGCTGTACTCAGCCATCCCGCGCATTGTGCCCAAACTGACAGGGAGGAGAGCTGCATTTTAAACAATGCAGCCATCCTCCCTGTCGGTGTTTGCAGGTAATCACTGGGCAACGGCGGGTAATCACTGGCCGGGACCCGGTGATTGACTCCCAGGGCCGTGATCTGTGGTGTGGGTGGGTAGCTAGCGCACGCCCCCTACCCGGAAATGCAGGATGACATTTATATACGTTATCCTGCGCACAGTATATGTACTGTGGGGGGTCCCTAGTAGTTAATTTAGCAAATTGAAGTTAGAAGCTGATTGGCTACCATGCACAGCTGCACCAAGTTCTGAGTGCTCAAGTTTTAGTAAATTTGAAGTCTGCAACTCACCTGAGAATGACTAAGTGGATTATATCAGACCATCATACATAGCTCCCAACTTCCCCTCAGGAGGGACGGTCCTTTTTTTGGAACCAAATCCCTCTGACCCTCTTTCCTTCCCAGATGTCCATATTTTTGTCTTGATGTATAGATCTCTGTGAAAATTATATTATTGAACTCTCAAATCTCAAATGTTTTATTACAATAAACCTTTTAATCCAACCTACACATTATTTTTTTTTATGTTTTAAAAAATAAAAAGTAGTTATTAAAAAAAATTATATTGGGTTCACCCTTCCATTTGTATGCCTTAATCTTCACAGTTTGCATTACTGGGGCATGGCAGGGGTGTGTTCGTTGCCTAAATACTGCATATTATAATATGTCCCTCTTTCTTACATAATTGGGAGGTACACATCATATGGCTGTATGGGCAATCTAGCAAAAGTATAGCCATTAAAAAGCGATCAGTAACAAAACACTAACATTTATCATCACTAGCACATTGTTGATTGTACAGTGCTGATATAGACCAAAGCAGATAAAACATGAGTGACTTTATTCCAGTAAAATGATAAATGCATGCAAATGCAGTTGCTTTCTGCTGCACATTTTATAAAATAATCCAGTGTACTTCAAATAATGTTGAAGTTTAATCTGAACACGCCTGGCAATGATTCACAGATTAGCTTTAATTAATCTTCAAGCTGCTAAAGCCTGGCTTTTGATTTGTTGTCACACGCTAGTGCACACAATTGTCTTTGTACTATGTCATTAAATATGCTTTTATGTCTTCATGTAAAAATAATTCAGTATACAACAGAATTTGTTTTGGAACCTCCTTACTGTATAATTTCTTTACATGCTGCAGAAAGTCCCTTTTTTGTATGCTTCCACCTTTTCTCTGCCTGGGTCTTTGACAAAGTTACACATATGTGATTTTTTACTTTCTTTTACTTTCTTTACCCCTGATTAGCTATTAAAGTTGTCTCTGAAAGACAGTAACCCATTTTGCCTAATGTCTCACACCACATACTGTAAATGTGGTGGAATGTAGCTTGGGCAACACTCACAGGGCCACTGGGTTAAAGCTGAACGTCAGGCAAAAAAAAAAATTAGCCACAAGTTATATAAATCCACTTTGCGTGCTCCAAATGCATTTGCAAACTCAGATATTACCTTGTAATGGTAGCAGTGACATCATGTATCGTGTAATAGCTACATTTTGCCAAAAAAAAAAAATCATCAGGAAGAGGGGGCAGATATAAGATACAAGACCAGTCAACCAGCACAAGAAGAGAGAGCAGGAGTGACTGTTTTTTTAATACAGGAAGCTCCTGCACAAAAAAAATGTTAACACTGGATTACTGCACAGATCTAAAAGAAACACACAGCACACAAAGATTGAAGTATACACACATAACCTGTATTTAGACGACATTATTTTCTTATACTGAGTTCAGCTTTAACCTCTTCCCGTCCGGCCAAACGGGAGCATTGCAGAAGCGGGTGGCCATTTAAACAACATCCTCCCCGCTTCCCTGCCTGTGCGTGCTCCCTAGGAGCGTGCAGCACCATGATCCAGTGCCCGCTGTGTCCTCCACAGTGATCACATGAATAGTAGTAAGCAAGATGTCACTTCTAACATCATTGCTTACTACGTGTGAAATCTGTGAATTATCACAGAGGTCACAAGGTACAAGGATATTCACAACATCCTTGTACCATGTGACAAGCTATGACCAATCACAGCTCACACAGTATTTCTCAATGGTTGCAAGAATGCAGCCAGAGAAAATGAGAAATGGTTGCTTTTACAGCCTCTATAGGTAAAAAAAAATTTAAAAAAATCTTCATCACCCCCCACAAGTAGTACAGTGTCTCTATGGTGTCACTGTACTGCTAGGGTGACAGTATGTTAAAAAAAAACCAAATAATATAAAAAAAAACAAAATAAAATGTCAAAACATTTTTTAAAAAATTATAATTTTTGGTTATAAACTAATTTGGGTTATTTTTTTTTACTAAAAAGATAGATGAATACATTTTGGCCAAGATTTATGAAGAAAGATTTATATGCAAAAATTTTATAAGAAAAACACGTTTTTTTTCAAAATGTTTGGACTTTTTCATTTATATAGCAAAAAAATAAAAATCCCAGTGGTGAATAAATACCAGCAAAATAAAGTTTTATCTGTCTCAAAAAATGCTAAAAAATTAATATGGGTACAGTGTTGTATGACCGTGCAATTGTCATTCAAAGTGTGACAGCTCTGAAAACTGAAAATTGGCCTGGACAGGAAGAGGTTGAAAATGTCTGGACTTGAAGTGGTTAAGTATTCAATTTGGATGTATCCAGGCTCAAAGCTCATTGCATTAACCACTTTGGCTTCATGTCTGCCAGGAAGGGGGACAAGCGGACTTGTTCCCCTCAACTGAAATTTACATACAAAGTCTTCCTTAGGATTTGGCAGGAATTCATTTGTCTGTCCCTTGTGCCCACTAAACACGCATCTTACCATTGGCTATTGCCACTTATACATTAATAGCATACAATAAAATCTCCCTGACTTCATATTCACCAGCCAAATGTAATTCCTGTGATCAGTCACTCTAATAATTCCATTTAGCCATTATGTTAAAGGCCAAATTTGGGAAGCATGAAAACTGCCCGCTAGAGCTAGGCTGTGCCCGCAGTGTTCGTTTTGGCCTAAGAGGCATCAAAAAGAAGATTTACCAAATCCTCCATTCCTCTGCACTGCTAGACCAGTTCCTACAAGTGCCTTCAGCCGGGTGCTCCAGTGGTCTAAGGCCCTGATGTCCTGACGCAGAGTGACAATCCATTGCCAGAGCATGGGGAAATGCCCTCTGCCGGGGGAGTGGAGGATCGGCTAAGTAAAAGTGAATTTGCTCTCCCCTAGAAGAAACAAGCAGTTAACCCTTGAAGTACGGGTGCAGTCCCACTGTATTGGAAAATTTTTGAAATTTACTGGAGTTGGGCTTTAATACTCATAAGAAAATAAAGCTGAATAATATAACCTGCATGTATCATAAATATGCTATAAACTTGGGCAACAAATACAATTTTACAATTCTTACATCAGTAAAAGTAAACATTTTTTTAAGTGACTTATTGTTTTTCTTGCAGTTTACTGAAGAAATGCTTTGAAATGTTAGAGGAGGGCCATTAAAATTATTATCTAAATCATTAAACCTATGTATTTATGTTTTTAAGCCATATTGTGTGTGCAATAATGAAGTGTCTGTTTATAAAATGTTTTTAACAGCTTCACACAGCTTTCTTCTAAGATTCACACATTGTTTTATTGGATTCATTTATAATAAAATGTGAATCCTGGATGTAAGTTGTGTGTATCTTGTATAACAACCTTTATATATAGTTTTTTGAACAGATTACAGGACATACCAAAGAAACATTTTTCCCAGTAAGCAACAATTTTTTGATAAGATTGAGTTCTTGGAAATTGATTTCTTTGTTTATGTAATACAGGAGAATATTACTGACTGAAGTGATAAAAGAAACATATAGAAAGATAACAGAAAAGCAAGTTATTCTCTTTAAAAGATAAAATCTTTGCAATGGTGGATGGTATACAATTTAGTAAAGATCAGTATAGTAGAAGCTTATGTATTCAGGAAACACAGATTTTTTTCAGCAAATATGTTAACTATGTGTAACACTGTGTACGACATTACTACATAAAGTAAAGGTGTATTGTAAGTATTTCAGGCAGTTATATAAAGACATAATTACAGAAGAAAATACTGTATTGTGTACTGATTGTCAGTTAGATCACCCGTAGAACTTGTACAAGTATAGGCATGCTTAAAATATTTAAAGAATTTTCTCAAATATATACATTGCAATTTCAGTTCCCTATTTTTGGGGATTAGATACATTTCTAAAAGTCTGATAATTCTAAATATCTATCATTTACTCTAAATCACTTACTAGAAACTTGCGATTCGATGCTGTTACTGTTCTCTTTCAGTCTTCATACTCTCGAATTGTCATCCATGCCTTCTCTAGGCTCAATACTAAATCAAGCAGCATGCCTGGGTGTGTCATGAACATTACCTGAAGGTGGAGTGAAAACCAGGGGATCAACTTTTTTTCAGGTTATATACTTAAGAACAAGAACTGTCACACCGGAATTAAAAAGAAAAGGGAGAGAAGAGAGAATAACTTTTGAAGAAACTGTTGTCTACAGTTAGAAAAGTTATCTTTTTTCTGTACAAGTACATTGATTCCCAAACTTGGCCCTTCTGCCCAGGACCAAATAAACACTCCCATGCCTCCTTCCTGTGTTGCAGCCAACAAAATGTCTGATATTGGTTTGTATCCGAGTTTAGAGGAAGCAATAAGGTTTCCCTCTTCATAACAAGATAATGCTTGTGCCTAATGATTGGTTGATACGTCCAGCACTGTATCAACGGAGGAGGTCACATGCTTCTCCATATCTGGAAACACTGGGCATTTTCCAGCAGCATTCAAAGAAGATGAAGTAGTAGGCTAAAATAGAGCTAATAAAGTTAGTATAAGGTGGTTGGGAGTTGGATGTTACACAGACCTGAACGGGCAAAGTGACCGAATCTCTTTAACGACTTGCCTACCAGGCACTTATACCCCTTCCTGCCCAGGCCAATTTTCAGCTTTTAGCGCTGTCGCACTTTGAGTGACAATTGCGTGGTCATGCAACACTGCAACCATATGAAATGTTTATAATTTTTTTTCACACAAATAGAGCTTTCTTTTGGTGGTATGTATTCACCGCTACGTGTTTTATTTTTTAAGCTATAAACAAAAAAAAGAGCAAACAATAAACAAAAAAATTTTAAATTATAAAATTTTGCAAACAAATAATTTTTCTCCTTCACTGATGTGTGTTAATGAGGCTGCACTGATAGACAGCACTGATGAGCACTGATAGGCAGCACTGATGGAAAACTGATGGGCACTGATAGGTCGCACTGATGAGGTGTGACACTGATGAGCTGGCACTGATATGCAACAATGATGGGCACTGATAGGTGGCACTGATGAGCTGGCACTGATATGCAACCATGATGGGCACTGATAGGCGGCACTGATGGGCATCACTGATATGCGGCATTGATAGGCGGCACTGATGAGCTGGCACTGATATGAAACAATGATAAACACTGATAGGTCGCACTGATAGATGGCACTGACTGGTGGCACTGCTGGGCACTGACAGCCAGCACTGCCGGGCACTGATGGGTGGCACTGCTGGGCGACACTGATGGGGGGCACTGATGTGTGGCACTTCTGGGCACAGATGGGTGGGTGGCACAGGTGGGTGGCACTGGTGGGTACCGATCATCTGCTGGTCACCGATCATCAGGGCACTGATCATCAGTGCCCTGATGATCGGTGCCAATCCCTCCTCTGACAATTGCCAGTAATCGGCAGTACTTTCCTCACGCTGTCGCAGCGCAGCCAATAACTGGCAACTGCATTTACCAGTGATCTGCTGTGTCATTGGATACGGCTGATCATGTGGTAAAAGGCCTCTGTGATTGGCCTTTTACCACATCACGTGATCAGCTGTGTCCATAGGACACACGCCCATATGACGCCCTCCCAGAACTGGCCGGTCACAGTGAAGCCGTCATTCGGCTATCTGCGGTCGGCAAGTGGTGTTAAAGTGTCAGCCCAATCAAAACTTGTTACATTTTGGATAGCGTGAGGAGGGATTAAACCTTCCTTTTCAGAACTCTACTGCCACCCAGCACTCTCCATGAGGTTTCCCCTCACTCTCACAATGACAACAGTTTTACCAGACAGGAAGTGGAGGAAAAACCGGGACAAAAACAGCAATACAAAGATGACAAGGTTTTAGCCTAGTTTCTAGATTTTGATGCGATTCCTTTCTGGTTAGACCAATGGAACAGGAAGGGGAAATCTCTTTAAATGGGCCCCAGATAACATTGAAAACTTAACAAGGGTTCCTCATCAAAAACCAAATACGCTTGGTCAGATTTATTTATTAGTTTTATTTATTACAGGTACTTATATAGTGCTGTCAATTTACACAGCGCTTGACATATATATATATTGTACATTCACATCAGTCCCTAACCCTCAAGGGGCGTACAATCTAAGATCCCTAACTTACATTCATACACATACTAGGGCCAATTTAGACAGGTTCCAATTAACCTACAAGCATGTCTTTGGATTGTGGAAGGAAACCGGAATACTCAGAGGAAACCCACGCAGGCACAGGGAGAACATGCAAACTCCAGGCAGGTGGTGCCATGGTTGGGATTTGACCCAACAACCCTAGTACTGCCAGGCAGAAGTGCTAACCATTTAGCAGTGTGAGACGCCATGTTATTACGCCTCCGGCAGCATTCAGGATCCTCTCAGACTAAAGGAAGCAGAGGAAGAAGAGGACCCATGATGCCTTGCAACTGGTCCAAATACACCTGAAAAATGGTATGTAAAAAGACTTTAGGAAGGGGGCATGGCTGGAATTTGAGCTTTACACTGTAGCCACCTACACTGTACTACCATTCCTTTTACCTGTGTTCATGTTATTGTCAGACTGTTTTTTTACTGTGTGACAAATTGTTTTATAGGAAAATTGTATGAAATGCAGAGAGTGCTGAAAACAGGTCTGGGAATGTTGCAGACTTTGCGAGTGTGACACTGCTTTTATTTTTAATAATAGATGTTCCAGTGCACTACTTTAAACATGCAGTATAGGTGACTATGACTATACAGAGTGGAATGTGTATAACAATGCCCAGTCTGCACATCCTCTAATTACATGACCATTTGTTTATTTTATCATCTTAATTGCAAGCCATGGCAATCCAATATATAGTTTATGAGAGTGCCCAGCCTCTTCTGCCCTGTATTATATAAAACCACCAGTTTAATACCAAGCATACTGTTCCATAAATGTATGACTGATGAATTTGTAAATTGTGTCCTTTTAGTGAAATTAAAAAAACACACACTTACTACTTGGCATTGGTTTAAATGGCCACAACAGTCCTTTATCCACTAAACAATTACCAGTTCCAGTTTCAAAATAACCACAACTAAAACATACCATAAAAAAAAATACCAATTGTTGGTTACAAGAATGGGTCTTTGGTGCCTGCTAGCCAAAAAAGGCTTTATTAAGATCCACCTTTGTTCCCAGCTGTACCCTGCTGGCTTTAGGACAGCTCCAGAATTGACTACTTCTGATTTAAGAGGGAACAAGCCCCCTCTTAAACAACTGATGTTGTGGGGAGCCCATACTACCAGATGGGCACTTTGTAACTATTTCACCTTTTCATAGACACCCAAAGACCCCCTAACCTATAAAGATGCTGTGATAACCACCTAAAAAAACCTGGTGACTAACACTAAACAAAGACAGGTGAGTGTAACAACATCAATCTCTTCAGAAAGAACTCCCAGCAGCCCCTCCATTTATTTCCTCCAGGTCTCTCTTTAAAAAGAATCAGTTCCAGGCACACAAATGAAAAACTATAATGCCTGCACCTACTGTAAGTTGCCCACCCACAACAACAACCTCTATACTTCATCGGCACAAGCTGTCTTTACTGGACTGTGTAAATGCACCTTTAACCACTTCAAGTCCGGACACTTTCACCCCCTTCCTGTCCAGGCCAATTTTCAGCTTTCAGTGCTATCACACGTTGAATGACAATTGCGCGGTCATGCAACACTGTACCCATATGAATTTTTTAGTATTTTTTGAGACAGATAAAACTTTATTTTGGTGGTATTTATTCACCACTGGGATTTTTTTTTTTTGCTATATAAATAAAAAAGTCCAAACATTTTGAAAAAAAAAAGTGTTTTTCTTATAAAATTTTGAAATATTCTTTCTTCATAAATCTTGGCCAAAATGTATTCAGCTATCTTTTTAGTAGAAAAAAAAAAAATAACCTAAATTAGTTTATAACCAAAAATTATAATTTTTACAAATTTGTTTTTACATTTTTATTTTATTTATATTATTTATGTTTTTTTTTTTTACATACTGTCACCCTAGCAGTACAGTGTAACAATAGTGACACTGTACTACTTGTGGGGGGTGATGAAGATTTTTTTTTTTTTTTACACTAATTGCTTTTACACCCATAAAGGCTGTAAAAGCAATCATTTCTTTGAGAAATACTGTGAGAGCTGTGGTTGGTCAAAGCTTGTCACATGGTACAAGGCTGTTGTGAGTAGCCTTGTACCATGTGACCTCTGTGATCATTCACAGATTTCACATGTAGTAAGCAATGATGTCAGGAAGTGACATATTGCTTACTACTATTTATGTGATCACTGATTGGCTAATCACACAGAGGTCCCGTACAGCGATCGGTGTTCCGCTGTGTCTGGAGGACACAGCAGGCACCGGATTGCGGTGCCGTGCTCTCCCAGGGAGCGCGCACAGGCAGTGAATGCGGGGTCCGTTTATAAACGGCAACCCGCTTCGGCACTGCTCCCTTCCGGCCGTTTATGTACATTGTTTGCATTCCTTTATTCACTACTTGGTTTCCATGCCTAGGCAAACGATGTCATACATCCCAGGAGTTTTCAGGAGGGAGGGAGGGTTCTCAGCTCAGCCAATGCTTGAGCTAAAGACAGACGGATTCCAGGATGTAACTGCTACTTGGATCATTTGCCCTTACTCAATCTGGCCACTGCCAGAAATGCCAGAAGGTGTTTTTCAAAATGATTTCTCAGCAAAATAAAGCATGGAGGCATGGATGGATGGAGTAGTTTGCTTTCAACATTAAAAATGAATTATATAGCATATTTGGTTTGTGGTATTCAGATGCAGAAATGTTCCACTTTAAGTCCCAGTTGATAGCACGTAAAAGCACTCCCAGCACACCAGATGGTATGTTCCAGAAGCTATTAAGACTACAATCCCTACAAATGAATAGGGAGAGATAACAGAGACTTGAGTTCCTATACACTTTTATATTATCTATACAAACATATTTTCCTCCTCATTTCACTCATTCATGTTGGAACTTGTTCAAAGTTAAAAAAGATGCAGAAAATCAAATAACTAAGTAAGGAAGGCATTCATTGGTTCATGTGCATGAAAACATAGAATAACTTTGTGTACTGGAGTCTATATATATATATATATATATATATATATAGACTAAAGACATCCTGCAAGAGATTTCCAACAAGCCATATTTCTGAGTATCCATATGCTCCCAAGTGTGAACAAAGATACATAGAAGGGTACCTGAAAAATCAATATCATTAAAACATGCATGGGTTTTCAAAAATAATAATACAACTTTTTATGTGAATTTGCCAAAAGGGAACAAACAATATTTCTATTTAGAGTAAGGCTTCCCTGATGTTATAAGGTTATACTTGATGCTGGAGAAAGTGGAGACACACTAGACAGGTTGATAGGTGTCACCACTTTTACTGAACAGGAAAATGTAAGGTCCACAGGGAGCAAGGAAATACGCTAGTGAAGAAAGCAAGACCATTTGTATAAGATTAAAGTGTATCTAAACCCCAAACAAAAATGTAATCCGTTGCAGTTTACCAATCCTTCCATGTGGTGGCTGGATTCATTTTCTTTTTTTTTAGGCTTTTTCCTCCTTATTTTCACCCGGTGATTCCACCAATAGTAAATTCCTGTCCTAGAATCACTGCCCTGACTCCTCCCCTTTATTTATGGACAGCAGCACTGTCAATCTCTGGAGATGGGTGCGCTAGATGAACTAGTAGACTTAGCTGTACTTTACATAGGTGACTAACAAATTATAGCCTAAAGATGGCAATAGATGGTTTGAATCTTGGCCTGCTCAGCAGGGACCAGCCGAGATTCAAATCATGTATGGGTAAGCTGAATGTACCCAAGGTGAGTGATCGATTTTTACATGTGATTACTGCTAGTGGATAGTATAGCCACTAGCAGTAATCACTGTTTTCCAGGCAGGCTCCCCCCCCCCACTGGAAGAACACAATGGCTCCAAGCAGGGGCGGACCAGGGGTGGACTGACAACTCATGGGGCCCCCGGGCAATAGGGGATCGTGGGGCCCCAGGGGCGGACTGACCATTTGCAAACTCGGGCATTGCCAGAGGGCCCGGGGTCAGTAGGGGGCCCCATGAGATGCCCCTGGTACCTTTTTCATAGGCTTTTTTGAGTTTTGGCAAGGACACAGGGGCCCCATGATCCCCTATTGCCCGGGGGCCCCATGAGTTGCCAGTCCACCCCTGGCTCCAAGGGATTTCCCCATCAACCCTGAATGTGTTGATGGGGCAATCAAGTGATTTTCTTTCCTGCAAAATTGCTCCATCTATGGCCGACTTAACTCAAGGTAACTCTTTTTAGATAAATACAGAAATATTTTTTTCTGTTTGGGATAAAGATTTTATATAAGGAAATAATAGCTGACCATTGTAAGCACCCATCAGTGTTAAATGGTTAATCTTAAGCCTCCATTATGGGCAAGGGAAATGTCCATGGGATTTGCTCATACATCTATATTTCCTAGTAAATCTTCTCAAATTGTTCCATTCCTTGGAGGCTAGTAAGTTCTACGTTTGTATTGCCCATGTTCTGTATATACTTGTTATAAGCAAGTTCTCATATGATGTTTTTATGTTGCACTTATTTTCTCTGTGCATTATACTTTATTTTCATTATACAATATCTATGGTATATAGATAATTAAAAAAAAAAATGCACAAGTGGATCGCTTGAGCATGATCTCCTGGTAAACTCTAAAGCTCATTACAAACTTTACAATCTGACTATACACTCTGCTTTAGAACCACCAACAACTACAGTATGTAGCACATGACCTGCCTGATTGAATATAAATTAAACAGATAGTTGTTTTTGATATGCAGTTTGTATGGTCAGGTTTGCAGTGTGTATGGTGAGCTTGAGGCTGCATTCACACCTCTAAAGCTTTAACCCCAATAGGATTTCATTAAAGTTTTAACAGGTTTAAAACAGTTTATTAAGCATCATTGAATACTGTGTGTATACATATTACAGTCTGATACAAAAAGAATAACTGAACAAACTGTAACTTACAAAAGTATTGGGACGCCTGCCTTTACATACGCATTAACTTTAATTACATCCCAGTCTTAGTCCATAGGGTTAAATATTGAGTTAGCCCACCCTTTGCAGCTATAAAAGCTTTAAATCTTCTGGGAAGGCTGTTCAGAAAGTTTAAGAGTGTGTCTGTGGGAATGTTTGACCATTCTTCCAGAAGCGCATTGGTGAGGTCAGGCACTGATGTCAGACGAGAAGGCCTGGCTTGCAGTCTCCACTCTAATTCATCCCAAAGGTATTCTATCGTGGTTGAGATCAGGACTCTGGGCAGGCCAGTCAAGTTCCTCCACCCCAAACTCGCTCATCCATGTCTTTATGGACCTTGCTTTGTGCACGGGTGTGCAGTCATGTTGGAAAAGGAAGGGGCCATCCCCAAACTGTTCCCACAAAATTGGATGCATGAAATTGTCCAAAATGTCTTGCTATGCTGACGCCTTAAGACAGGGGTCCTCAAACTACGGCCCGCAGGCCACATACAGCTCACCAAAGACATTTACCTAGTTTTCTGGGCTGGCAGAAAAAAAAAAAAAAAAAAAAAAAATCGGGAAAAAAAAACGGAACCGTGCCAACAAATAGCTAAGCTGCCCGCTGGGTCCTCGGACACGAGGACTCAGCGAGTGGCAGCCAGGTAAGGACCAAGACCGGATCTAGGGGGGTGCTGGGGTGGGCTCTGCCTCCCCAGGCCTGGTGCCCCCCTCCTCCCATTTACATTGTGCTGTGCCCGCTGTGCTCCCCCCCATCCCTTCACTCACAGCCGGCCACAGTTATCTAAAGATATCACTCCAGACAGGAGTGGCAGAGAGGAGAGAGCAGTGAGGAGATGAGGGCTCTCTGTGATCTCCCCCTTCTGCCAAAAGAGGCGCTCCTCAATACTGCAGGTTACATAGGTTACATAGGATCGCTTTTACATCCCACGGTACACAGCTTCATTACCTGCCCCCATGCACATTTCCAGGAGTTGAGCAGTCTTTGAAGGAGATGGGGGAGTAATGAAGTCGTATACTGTTGGATGTAATAGCGATCCTATGTAACCTGCTGTATGGAGGACCGGTGTTATGACAGGAGGAGGGAGATCACAGGGAGTCCACATCTCACTACTCCTGTTGCTCCTGTAAGATTGGGGGGGAGGAGGAGCTTGTGGAGGAGGGATGGGGCTGTTTGTGCTGGGAAGGGTAATTGGGGGGATGTGTTAGGAGGCAGGAATGGCAAAGATTTATGCTAGAAGGGGGAATGGGGGGTTGTGCTAGGAGGGGGGGGGGGGGGGGGGTTGTGCTAGAAAGAGGATTTGGAAGGGGGGTGGATTTGTGCTAGGAGGGGGGAACTGGGGGTGATATGTGCTACTAGGGTGATTTGGGCTGGGAGGGTAATGTGTAGGCATTTGTGCTAGAAGGAGGAATTGTGTGGGGGATTTATAGTAGAAGGGGGGTGGGAGGAATTTGTACTAGTAGGGGGGATTGGGGGGAGCTTTGTATTAGAAGGGAAGATTTGGGGGGGAGGATTTGTTCTGGGGAGAGGATTTGTGCTAGGAGGGAGGGATTAAGAGGGAATATTTGTACTGGGGGGAGATTTGAGGAGAGGATTTACACTAGGAGTAGGGATTTGGGGAAGAGGGTTTGTGCTAGGAGTGGGGGAAATTTGTACTAGGAGGGGTGATATGGGGAGAGAATTTGTGCTGGGAGGGAGGGGGGAATTTGAACTAGAAGGGGAAATTTGGTAAAGGATTTAAGCTGGGAGTGGGGATTTGTACTGGAGGGGATTGGGGAGATAATTTGTACCAGGAGGGGTGATTTGGGGGAGAATTTGTACTAGGAGGGGGGATTTGGGGGAGAGGGTTTGTTACCTTCACCTTGAGTGCTAGACGACCTTGTCCCGGAACTGCCCACACTGCACACAAGGCACTCAACAGATCTCCTCCCCACACATAGCACATAGCTGAGATCAGATTCCCCACAGTAGCAATCTGCACAATGTGTAGCTGGATGCAATTGCAGTTCTGACAAGTGAAATTCCCTGATTGGATTGGCAGCTGCAGTATCCAGCTACACACTGTGTAAGGGGATACTGATCTCAGCTATGTGCTGTGTGGGGAGGAAGAGATCTCTTAAGTGTCTTGCCAACAGTGACCCTGTCCTCAGCTCTGCTGACCGCTGTCTTCTGCCATGCTGACTCCTGTATCCTG